TCAGAGGATTGAGACAAGAGTTAAAGTAAAACAGACCAACCGTAACATAAAAGGATAAATCATTGTATTGTAGGGCCTGACTTGTGAGTGATATACAGAAATATGGGCAGAGGCACATCAGGAACACAACAACAACAACCCCCAGAGTCCCGGCGGCCTTCAGCTCAGATTTCTTAATGGTTATTTTCCCTGAATGCTGCTGTGAGGCCGCTGTGGTGTGAGAGCGCATGGCCCGAACCTGAGACACAACCACCATAAACACTCTGAGATACAGACATATGATGGTGAAAACTGGAGCTATGAAAGTAAAAAATAGATCTACAGCCTGTTTAACGAAATCATAGGCAACCGAACACTCTCCTGTGCAGGAATTATACCGGCCCTGTTGTTCAAAATGTTCCCTCAAATACAGAACGGCATAGAGGAGAGAAGCCGTCCAACACAGAGAGATGCACAGCTGGACCCGGTTTACAGTCACTTTGGAGGGATAACGCAGGGGATCGCAGATAGACAGGTAACGGTCCGCTGATATCAGCACCATGTTCCCTACTGACACCGAGGTAAGAACTATGTCCAAAACACAAAACAGAGAGCACACCAGTTCACCCAGATACCAGCAGCCGTCCACCATCAGGACCTGGAAAAACCACAGGAAGCCCACTAAGAAGTCTGAGACAGCCAGAGAGAGGAGGAGGAGGTTGGTGGGAGTGTGGAGCTGCCTGGAGAGGAAACAGAGAAAGGATCAGGAGCTTTGGGGGAAACACAACCCAAGAATAAGAAACAACAACATTTGATCAGAATAGCCTCCTGTTCCAATCAGAATCAGAATAAGGTTTATTGCCAAGTAGGTTTTTGACTTACAAGGTGCACAACACTTCAATGAGAAGCAAGGAAATACAATGTAGAAATAAAAATATACAACAGAAAATATAAAACTAAAAAGTACAATCTTTAAAAATATAGATCTGAGGTGTTTAACCCTGTAATGCCAAATGTGTCATATTTGATTCATACGGTTTCTGAAATGTTTTGCGTCTGACACCTTTTGCATAATTTAATGATAAAAACTTTGCTCAAAATCCTATTGTACACAATCAGATACACCTGATAACAGGGGGCAGAAGACTACACAAAAAACAATCTTGACTTATCGCATAGTAATAAATTATTAACATTAAAAATGTATTTCTGTTTTTTCTTTTTACATATTTTGTTAAAAGGCCAAATAAAAACTTCAAACCCCAAAAAAAAGGCATTTTCTTTTTTGTTTCATTCTGGGGTCGAGCTTTAAAGGGTTAGATGAGGATCTACCTGAAGTGTGAGATGGAGATGATGACCAGCAGGTTGAGGGAGGCGGTGAGGGCAGAGATGGAGGACAGGACGA